CTGAGGCTGCAGGTCCCCCCAGCCCCCTCCTCCAAGGCCGACACGCATTCACAGCTGCTTGCTGAATCCCGTCACATGCGGTTCAAGATAACTGACCCTTCTGCCCGCTGTGCTTGTTTTCACGTCACCACCCAGCAGGAGGGAATTAGTTTTCCGTCGCAGCTCTAACAAATCACTGCAGACTCGGCAGCCTAAACACCGCAAACTGAAGTGTGGCACAGGTCTCACTGGGCTAACATCAGGGCCGTGTCCCTCCTTGAGCCTCCAGGGGAGAATCGGTTTCCTAGGTTTTTCCGGCATCCAATGGCCACCCACATTTCTTGGCTGGTGGCCCCTTCCTCCACCTCCAAAGCCGGCAACACTGCGTCTCTCTGTCTTTGCGGCATCATTTCCCTCTGAAGTCCTCTGGTCTCCCTCCTCCACTTTTAAAGACTCTGGGATTACACTGGGACCACCTGGATAATCCAGGCTGACTTCTCTTTTTTAAGGTCTCTGATTAACCACCTCAATTCTGTCTGCTACCTTATTCCGCCCTTGCCATGTGTGTGATACACTCGCAGATTCCGGGGGTCAGGATGTGGACATCTCAGGGGCCCACTTTTCTGCCCACCACAGGGAGGGAGACAGAGAAGGAACCTCCAGCTCTTCCCGAGGGGCAGGGTCGTTCACACATGGCTCTGTCCCTGGGGCGTCACAATGGCCCACAGTTTGCACTCATTCCATCATAACGGGGCTGCAGGGGCTTCAGCTGTACCATCAACGTTAAACTTGGAGCATGTTTAGCACAAAGTTACCTTCCCAATTGAAAGTAACATCACAAACACCACCACACTTCACTGGGGTTGATTCCCAGAGAGTCCATTTATATGGGAACACAATCACCCCACGATCAACCCAAATCAGGGCTGGCTCCCACTGACAGTGGAGCTGTACCTGCGAGAACCCATCTTCTTTCCCACCTTCCTCAGTGGCCGGCATCGCTGGGAATCACTCAACCTTCGGGACCCTTCGGAGCCACTGTGGGCGGGCTCCGAGCTCCTCCTCACCCCCACACTGCCACTCGCCATGTGTATCCGGTCTGGCCCCCAGGGCTGCACACTGCCATCTGGAGCCCTACTCCTGCCTCACCTCCGGCCTGCTCCCCAGGCTGAACACGGACAGGAGGGCTCTGCTTCAGAACCTGAAGCTGCATGTTCCATTTAATGACTGGGCTTATCACAGATAAACAAGGAGGATCCAAAAAAAAAAGTAGACAAGAGAAAACCGAACATCTTCCCACATACATTTCTCTATTATTAGGATTATTTTTTCCCCTAATTGATCATCTTGGTCTAATGAAAAGGGAAGTCAACAAAGAAGTCCTTAAAAATCAATATAAAAGTTTTAGATTCCTCTAATGTTGGCATTTAATAAGAGCTTTCCAGGAATCTCCACAGGCCAGAGAGTTACTAAAGGGAAAAGAGAAATCACTGTCTTTCTTTCTTCCCAGAGTCCTAGGGACCACTCCACAAACGCCTGGACAAAAGAGAAATGACTTCCTTAGTGTGGATCCATTTCAGGACTCTGGACTGCACTCCCAGACCCGAGGACACCCTGGTTGTGAGGGAGAAAACACTAGAGCATTTATCCACCAGCCCTGCACAGTTGCTGTGAAGGCTGCCACGTTGCTGCCCGGGAAGTCCTGAGACCCAGATGAAAGGGCCGTGTGTTTGTGGGAGCCTACAAGTGCTCACCTCAAAGGCCACATTCAGGGAGTGGGGTGAACACGGCTCCAGGCAGGAGCTGCTGGCCCTGCACCCTGGGTCCCTCCTCACTGCCTCTGGGGCTCGGGGAGGCCTGGCACATAAAAGTTCCCTCAAGTACCAGCAGCCGAGACCAACACGTCTACAGTGCTGCTGTGGGCTACGAAAACCAGACGTGAAGTACGTTCAGAGTGCATCTTTAGGGGGAAGAAAGGAGACTTTCAGCTGACAGAAAGAATCAAACGATCATCTACACTTCAACCGAGGGAACATACGGTGGCATAAAGTGGAACCTGTACACCTGCCAAGTATAGGATTTCCTCCACCACCCTGTGATGTCACAGCGTGTCCCATGATCAGGTTAACTGGGACAAGAAAAAGAGTGAGGAGACTGAGAATCCTGTCCCCAGACCACTACAGTGGCCTTGTGACAGTGCTTGAACAAATCCACGCTTCATCTGAGTCCCCTCCCAGAAGACACCCTGGGCTGTGCAGGACCGGGCACCCCTACCAAGCGCAGAGGGATGGGGAGGCTGGCCCGTCCCTGTGCCTCAGCCTGAATAGAGGACTCACTGAGGCTAGCAGGGAGTGGCACTGGCTGCTCTGGGAGGAGCCCCACCCGGCCCACAGGCTCAGGCTAGCCTATTCCACTGAGCGGCCTCAGGGGTGGGGCTGGGGTAAGGGAGGGCCTGCAGCCCAGCCTAGGAAGACCCTTCTCAGTCAAGCTCCTCAAAGGGAGAGCCTGCAGAGACCCCACTGCTCCTGAAGGGCTGCAGCACCCACTTCCTTTCCAGGGACCCCCAGTGACCCTACCCTTTTGTCAAGTTCTGGTCCTTATACTTAAGAGCCAGCAAGATTCAGTCGACATCAGCAGACACATACTCCCAAACCTGTAATTTGTTAAGAACATGGTAGGAAAAGATGTCAAGCATGTACCCCTAGACAGGCATGAGAAATGGGGCCGGAGCTGGAGTGCTAAGGGACACCGGTCTCCTGGGAGACACTAACGTGCCTGGGAAAAGATGTGTCCAGTAGACAGAAGGGTGAGCACAGGTGTAGGGGCCTGCCAAGCCTAGGGATACAGAGGGCAAGGGACAGGCAGCAAGCAGCAAGGATGGCCAAGGAGGTGCCTGTCCCCAGGGCTATTGCCCATCCAGACCAGATGCGGGGAGGGAAGGAGGGGAGGGTGGAAAGTTTGGGTGCAAAAGGAAGGAGACTAAGCTGTGCTGAGGGGAAGGAGAGAAAGGGCTGGTGGGGTGGGGAAGGCTGGCCGGCTGCAGGTGTGATAAAGTGCCAGCCAGAGAGGGGAGGGCTCCCTACTCGGTCAGGAGAGGCCCTGCGGAGGTCAGAGCAGGGGCACTGAAATCACAGGGGGCAGGAAAGGGCTGTCCTCGGGGATAGAGAGGTGTCAGGAAGGGAATTTGTCCTTCAGGGTCAGAGGGGGTGATGTTCCATCGTAGTCAGAGGGAGGAGGTGTCCGTAAGTCTGAGGGATGAAGGGTCTTGCAAGTCAGAGGGGCAGAAGTTCCGCAGTCAGAGGAGTGGTGTCCCGCGCTAGTCAGAGGGGTCAGGAGGCCCCCAAGTCAGAGGGGGGAGGTGTCCCGCAAGTCAGACGACGTAAGAGCCTTACAAGTCAGAGCGGGGAGGTGACCGCCACCAGATGGGAGACGGGGACAGTTTCTCAGAGTCAGGGAGGCGTCCCACCCCTGTCAGCGGGTCAG